CCGCACCTGTTTGCTCGGCCTCCTTCTCGGGGAGGGCTGCCCTGGCCAGTCCTCGTGAGCGGGGAGCCCACCCTCCCCTCTTACAGCCCCCCTTCCCCGACCTCTTGCCCGCTTAGCCCTTGTCACCATCTCAGGTGCTACGCTTGCCTTATGTCTCCTTTCCCTTCGGCGACAGGCGGGAAAGGCTTTTGCCTGCTTCCCCAGTGCGACGCTCTTAGGGCCCAGGACACTCTCCGCCTTTCCCCCCCGGGCATCCGAGCCGTCGCTGAGCAAGGGCTTTTCCAAGACAACGCAGTCACACTCTTTGTGTGGCACTTAGGCCTCCAGCGAGGCTCGTGTGGGGCCAAAGGCCGTGTCACTGCGATGATGCCGCACACCTTTCGCGACCACAAGCCGGGCGACCTCGGACGTACTCCTGGAATTTCCAGGACGGCAGGTAACGAACCTGCTCCTTGATTTCCTAGGAGGACGTGTCCTGAAACAAAGAGCTGCCAGCTGGAAAGCATCCAAGGAGGAGCCCGTAAACCGCCGGACAATTGAAGCAGAGGCTTTTTTTTTTAATGGTTATTTTTGAGAGTGGGAGAGAGACAGAGCACGAGCAGGGGAGGGGCAGAGAGAGAGGGGGACACGGAATCGGAAGCAGCTCCAGGCTCGAGCCGTCTGCACAGAGCCCGACGCGGGGCCCGAACTCACGCGAGATCACGCGAGATCGTGACCCGAGCCGAAGGCCGACACCCAACCGACTGAGCCCCCCAGGCGTCCCACCATTGCTTTTTGAAAGTAGGCCCCATGTCCAACCCGGGGCTTGAATTCATTACCTGAGATCAAAAGCCACATGCCCCGCGGAGCCAGCCAGGTGCTCCCCGTGGTGACTGATTTTTTTTTTTTTTAAATGTATTGAATTCAGTTTCCTAGTATTTTGTTGAGAATTTTTGCATCTATGTTCAGCAGGGATACTGGACTGTAATTCTTTTTAGTGGTGTCTTCACCTGGCTTTGGTATCAGGGTAATGCTGGCCTCACAATTAATTTTGAAAAATTTCCCTCCTTTTCCATTTTTTTTTTTTTTTTTTTTTTTTTTTTTTTTGGAATAGTTTGAAAATAGTTACTAACTCTGCTTGAAATGTTTGGTAGAATTCACCTGTGAAGTCATCTGGTCCTGCACTTTTGTTAGGAGTTTTTTGATTACTGATTCAATTTCTTTGCTGGCTTTCAGTCTGTTCAATTTTTTCTACTTCTTCCTGCCTCACTTGGGGTGGGTTATGCTTCTAGGCATCTAACCATTTCTTGTAGGTTGTCCGATTTGTTGGCGTGTAGTTTTTCACACTCTATTTCTGTGGTGTCATTTCTCTTCTCTCACTTGTAATTTTATTGAGTCCTTTCTTTTTTCTTGGTAAGTTTGTCTAGAGGTTTATCGATTTTATTAATTTTTTCAAAAGACCACTTCCTGGTTTCATGGGTCTGTTCTATTGTTGTTTTAAGTATCTATATAATTTATTGCTACTCTACAGAGATGGGTAACTTTTTAAGAGCTTTTTAAAGCTTCTTTCTTTTGCATAGCTGTAAAACTGTACTTGACCGATCGCAATGAAACAAACCTAAACAACACAGGAAGCAAAGATCTCAAAGTTTAACAGAGCCCACATGTATTATGCCAATCCTCGTTTCTATTGACTGTAAATGTTATTCTAAATTAATAATGATGATACATCTGAATCTACAAACAGATCTGGCCTGATACGTTTCCAGTATTTTACTGTGAGACATATTTGGTGAAAAGTCATTCTGACCCAAAGTTAGATAGCTAAGTTAGATAGATGTAAGATAGATAGACTATGAAAGAATGCAGTAAACACACTCTAAATTTGAAACCTCAGGTTCAATCCACATGTTACTTGAAAACCTATTACAGATTTTGAAAACACAAGAAACAAACATGGCTTATAATTTGGAATTATGAGCTCTTAATTAGTTCTGAGCAGTGCAGTAAAGGAATGATACTGATAATGGTTAGGGAGAAAAGCAGAGAGAAGAAATTTAACCAGGAGCTTACCACCATTCTTTAACAGTTGACATCTAAATGTGTTTCTGGGATGAACAAATTTGAATAGTCAATAATAACTTTCCTAAAGCCTCATTAACTGAAACTATACAATTTTGTTTTTCACGTGTGTGTGTGTGTGTGTATATATATTTTTTAATTTTTATATTTTTTTTGTTATTTCTTAAAGTAATCTCTACACCCAATATGGGGCTCGAACTTTAGACCCCAAGATCAAGAGCTGCATGCTCTATCGACGAAGTCAGCCGGGTGCCCCTGAAATTATAGAACTTAAATATGACTTTTTTCATGTGTTTATATATTAGCTTTCACTTAGTCACATTAAACCATCCTCTTTCATCGCTCAGTTCATTCATTTGAACACCTGCCTTTAGACGCCAGGTCCTTGATCTAAGTTTTCAGGCAGAGTTATTATTCAGCTCACGTCACACTACCGAGTCGTCAATGGTGGTTAAAGCAGTATCTTAAAGCAGAGGTCAAAATTAAATTGTTAGATTAAAAACGATTATAAGACATACCAAAGGTTATGGAACAAAACACATCACTGAGAAGAATTCAGTGTTTAAAATGCCTTTTCTTCCTAAAGATAAGCGATGTTCTAGACATGCAGATACAGCTATATAATTTTGTGGATGCTACTCCTGACAAATCTTTTCTCCTCAGATGCACTTATAAAATTCGTGAGAATACCACTGATACAGGACCTTCAAAATATTTTTCAAGACCTAGTTAGGAGCCAAATGACTCGTCACACAGTGAGACCGAAAAACAACCGATGTACATTGTTAATTTTTTCAAGTAATGTTATGTACAGTTTTATTGCCAGTATATGCACAACAGTAAGCATAGAACTATAAATACACAATGTAATTAACAGTAGAAAACAAAATTGTTACAGGTAAAGGGGCGGGGATATAGAGAAACTATTTTCCTGCTGCTAGAACAGAAACAAAGGGAAAAGCCCATGACAAACCATCCATCCAGTACTTTTGTCTTAAATTCTTTACATACATTTCTACATGTTTTTCAGTTAAACAAAGAAAGTACAGATCACTCTGTAACAATAGCAAACTGCTATTTGCCTTTCCAGTCAAATTCACTTCATGTTAGGATTAAAAAAAAAAAAAAAAGTCAAGATGAGAAATCATTAGTGTCCCGGTTCCAAGTGATCTCATTTGCTTTGCACCAAACTGGTAAGTTTTGCAAGTCGGCTGCACAGGAAAAGAACAGGTGTAGCGAAAGGTGATTAAAACAATGTGTTAAAATGTAACAGAAAATCACCCTTGAAGTAGTTTTCCAAAAGACACTGTAGGCAGCAGCTCAGTTAAAAGGATCAGCCCTGAAGAGGTAGAGAATTTGAGTCCGTTACAGAGATAATAGCCTTGTGCCACCTTCTCTCTCGTCAGGATCAACGTTTTCAAGTAAGACAATTTCACGGTCAAAGGAAACCAGGTGCCACCATTTAAAGAAAAGGTGCTGGTTGACTCGCGCGTCTCAGTGATTAATAAGTTTGTTTTTTAATGAGAAACAGAAGACGGTCAAGACGCACATGCACTGGATTTTCTTCTCTCTTTCCATTATCAAGTTTATTCGTAAGTGAATTTGATATTAATAAATACGAAAAAAGCATCATTCACAACAACGAAAAACAAACCAGAAACCCTGCAAGAAAACCTTCTATTTTAATAAGCATCTAGAAAACAACAGGCAGATGATCTGGTGCAGCTTTCTTAAGGGGCCGCAGGGGGGACACGGTTTTAGGCGAGGCGGCAAGATCGAGAGCCAACACGCGGAATCGGCATCACAGAACTGGCTGATTCTGTGGCACTCTCTCTGAGGACGTCGCTTTACGCTACGGGTCACCCCAAAGAAGTTGCGACTAACGACACGTGTCACCGTCACGTCGACAGAGTCCAGCTGTGGTTCAAATCAGTCCTGCTTCGTTTCACATCATTTCAGTATTTCTAGCATAGGACATGATACAGAACGAAACTCCAAGTAGCAATAAAAATAGTATTCTGCATTTGAATAGAGGCAAAAAAATGTTTTAGACTGTTAAACTTTTAAAGCTTTAAGCATTCCTCTTTCACCAGCATTTAAAAAAAATGTATACAATCATAACACTGGCAAAGGTTAATGGGAAGACAAGTACAAACATGTGAAATGATGAATTCGATTAAAAATTACTCTGTATCGATCCACTGATGTTAATACTGCTTCTTCTTGAATTTGGAATAACTATCATAAAAGTTACATGCAGACTGAGGAGAGCCCTCTGTTACAGAAAATACAAAACGAAACAAAAAACTAAAGCCGGGAAAAGATGGGGAGTTCCGAAAGATGCGTTTGAGTACTTCCTCTCGCTGCTGAGGGGTGGTCTGCCCGTCCCGGGTCGGGGCGGCCTGGCCCGCTTCGGTCCGCGTCACTAACTCTGTCCGGAAACATCAGCAGCGGGGTCAGCTCCTCCAGAACCTGTCTGTGCGCGTTTGATGTACAGATTCAGGAGCTTCATCTGCAGATTGAAACCAAAGCGAAGGCGTTGAGCAGGCTGCTCTAAATTACAGGAAGATGCTCACGAAAACAGGTCTGCACGTATCGTGAGTCTAAGAAGAGAGGTTTTAGGGGCGCCTGCCTGGCTCCGTCAGGGCGGCACGTGGACCCTCGATCTCAGGGTTGGGAGTTCGAGCCCCATGTTGGGTGTAGAGATTGCTTAAAAATAAAATCTTAAAAAAGTAAGTAGAGATTTTAGATTACGTTATGCCCAAGTTATTGTTGATTGTTAACAATTACCAAAAAGCTTTTCAAGTCTCCATCTGTTTATGACTGAGTGCTCTATTTATGCATTTATTTTTTTTTTTTATTTTTTTATTTTTTTTAATTTTTTTTTTTCAACGTTTATTTATTTTTGGGACAGAGAGAGACAGAGCATGAACGGGGGAGGGGCAGAGAGAGAGGGAGACACAGAATCGGAAACAGGCTCCAGGCTCCGAGCCATCAGCCCAGAGCCTGACGCGGGGCTCGAACTCACGGACCGCGAGATCGTGACCTGGCTGAAGTCGGACGCTTAACTGACTGCGCCACCCAGGCGCCCCTCTATTTATGCATTTAAGTAACCTCTGCACCCAACGTGGGGCTTGAATTCACGGCCCCGAGATCGAGAGTGACGTGGTCTACCGACTGAGCCAGCCGGGTGCCCCTGGTGACTCTCACAATGTGCCTTTTCTGTAACACTAAACCTGCTGTAGTGTTAGCATGTGAAGCTTAAACGTAGAAAAGAAGTCTCATGAGGACAGTCGGGACAAACATTCGAGCACTATGTGCTGTAGAGTAAGCTAACGACCTCACGTTGCCTCTCTCCATCTCAACGACACTTTACACATGAGGAAATCAAGACACGAAACATGCCAGTCGTTGTCTAGAGTCACAGAGGTGGGTAAGAAGTGGGCCAGGACAGAAAACCAGGCCCCTGGGTTCCAGGACCCGAGATCTTCAACGACTGTAACACCGCCCTCCAAGAATGTTCTTGATTAGTGTCATTTTGTGGTCTTTACCAGATGAGACCCTATTTTTATCAAGTGTTAATCAATGGATACGCAATTCTGTATTCTACTTCTTTTCGTCTGATGTCATTTCCAAGTATTTTTTCGGCCTGGCTATAGTCTTCATATGCAACATTACTGGCTGCCTCATATTCTGACAAAGTGCTTAACTTTAACTCTTCCACAGACATCTTTGGTCATCAGGACACAACCTGAGCTTATCCCAAGACCTGAGATCGTTTCTCTTTGAAAAGCACTGTGTCGGGGCGCCTGGCTGGCTCAGTTGGCAGAGCACGTAGGGCTCTTAATGTCGGGGTGGTGAATGCAAGTCCCATGCTAGGTGTAGAGTTTACTTGAAAAAAAGAAAGAAAAAAGAAGACTGTGTTGTTTAACGTTTGCTTTTGTAACATTAAATCATTGATCCAAGGGGTTTTTCGTCTGATGTCCAGGGGCTCCGGGCACTCACTGAATCCCCTGAAACCACGTGTAGAATTTTCTGTATTTATTTACCTTTCTTGGGATGTGGTAGTAATGCCCGAATCTCAAAGCAGGTCTGCGAGTCAGAGAGAGTTAAGAACTACCACCCACCGAGCACACACACAGGTATTTAACGTGAGGGGCATACCTGAGCCTTACAGGCATTTTCTCTACTGTTTTGGTATTTTAAAACTAAATCTGACAATAGTAATGACGATCGCTAGGGTTCTGGGAAACTCTTAAAATGAGGGTGTCTCCTGCAAACAGCTCATAAGCAACAATCCAACAATCATCACCTCGTAGAATAAATTTCAATGTTTGATAGTATCAAAAAAATGAGGGAAACAAGACTTAAATTAAAAAATTTTTTAAATGTTTTATTTATTTTTGAGAGAGACAGAGACAGAGTGTGAACAGGGAGGGGCAGAGAGAGGGAGACACAGAATCCGGAAAGGGCTCCAGGCTCTGAGCTGTCAACCCGGACGAGCCCGACGCGGGGCTCGAACTCACAAGCCACGAGATCGTGACCTGAGCCGAAGTTGGACGCTCGACCGACGGAGCCGCCCGGCGCCCCAAGACTTACATTTTTTAAAAGTTTATTTATTTAAGTAATCTCTACACCCGACGTGGAGCTTCAACACACAACCTTGAGATCAAGATCATGTGCTCTAGTGACTCAGCCAGCCAGGTGCCCTTGGTTTTTCTTTTAAGTCTTAAGGACAGTGAATACTTGATTATCGGAGTTCATAGGGGAAAATCTAAGAAATATTCCAGGATTCCCCATTTTGGGAGACAGGAAGTAATCCACGAATACACAACCACTATTTATTCTTAAACCGTCCTTGGGGGCTATGATCGGGTGTGGGAGCTGGAAAGGAGTCAGTTGACTGGAGGCGTTTCTCTCACAGCCACACACCCTCTACCGAACCGGCGGCTTCCCCCAGCGACCCCCAGCGACCGATGCGAAAGTAGAAACAGTTAACATTCAAACGGTAGGAGGAATGAGTCGGACACTCAAAGCCTGACTTATCCAAAGCCAAATACGAATTTACCCTTTAACCCGACAGAGACCTAAATTTTGAAACATGCACCACTGCCACCACCTGTAGACCAAAGCGTCGCCACTTACCTTGCTGCCCGTGAGCTGACTGAGATGTGGTTTTAGTTCGTCACCAATTACCGCGTGAACGGCCACCAGGCAGAAGACACAAGCTTTCCGAACACTGCTCTCCGAGTTATCGTAACCCTAGGGAGGAAAGTCCTCGTTAGCACTCCTGGGGGGCCGGAGAAAGAACTATTCCAGCATGGACAGGCGTGGTGGCTCCAACACGAGATCGCGGGCGCACCAAGGACAAGAAGCTTTAAGGATGGAAGTGACTCCTCCAGCTCTCCCGGCGGAAACGCGCCCTCCTCTCCTTCCGCCTCCCCTTCAGCGCCTCCCCTCCACTGTCAGCTTTCCTGATCGGCTCCTACCTGATTTGGCCCGGAAGGCGGTCCCTTTGCCGACCTGCCCTGTAAAGTGTCCGGATGAACCTTGCTAAAGCACTCAGCCGTAGGGAGCCCAAGAGCGCCTCCCTTCCGAAAAAAACCTGAACTGAAGTAACATTGGGCCTGGCGGTCAGGGCCCGCCTATAACCCAGGCTGAATTCTAAGCTCAACATCTGTCCCACCCCTACCGTTACTCGAAGTCACTCACCCAACAGAACATGCAGTCAGTAGCCACCGTGTGTATGATACACATACCATGTACATTCTGTACAAAGAAAGGGATTTGGATCCTATCTTCAAGGACCACACAATTTAGTGAGCAATATTAGATTCAGAACAGAGTCAAAGAGAACACTACAGATGCACAAAGAAACGAGTAATTCTCTTCAGGAGGGATATACGCTCTGTAATTCTGGCCATTAAAATTACATTACGGAATAATAATTTACTGGATGGGAGAGTTAACAATTCATGATTAAGCAAAAAAGCATGCTATAAAATATGATCCCGTTATGAAAATGTTTCTGCGGATGGGTTTGTGTGCATAGAAAAAAACCACATTACATCTATGGCTGTAAATCAGTGTAACCATTTTGGAGAGAAATTTGGCAACACCTAGGAATTCTACTTCTAGATATATACACAGAAGTGTAAGAAGATATTATAAAGAAGTTCACTGTGATATTTATATCATTAAAAAAGGAAACAATCCATATATTCATCAAAAGACGAGTGGATCAACCAATTGTGGGATTCACATACGTGGAAATTGCTCAGCCATAAGACAGGAATGAAATTCTAACACCTGCTGTAACACAAGCCCTGAAAACATTATGCTAAATGAAGTAAGCCGGCCACAATAGGACAGATACTGCGGGATTCCATTTACGTCAAGAACCTAAGCAAGTAGAAGAGCCAAAGCAGAATAGGAGTTACCGGGGGCTAAAGGGCATGGGAACAAGGAGTTATTAATTAATTAATGGGTACAGTTTCCACTGGGGACGAGGAAATCCGTTCTGGACATGGGCAGTTGTGAGGGCTGCACAACAGCATGCACGTATTTAATGCCGACGAATCTCACGCTTAAAAGCGGCTCAACGGTAAGTGTTAGGTTACGTATGTACTTAACACACACACACGCAAAGCTGGCTACGGAAAGTCTCTGCTCTGAACGTCCGGGACGGCAGGAAGGCTTGGTTATGCCGCTCGTGCTGCCTAGAGCGTGCCTAAAATAACCGAATCCCCAGTGTGGTACAGCTTACCCCTCCAAGTTTGGTTTCTTACCTGTATCAAGCCTGGCATAATCTCTGGCAAAAGCAGGTTAAGGGTGTCCTTGGACACCCGCTCTATCACTTTCGTTTGCATCTTGATTGCAGCCAGATTGATTGGGTAATCTGCGGTTTGGATGATGGGGCAAAGCACTTTGATGCACTGCTCGGGGCTGATAGAAGTGGCCAGCACCGATGCTGCTTCCTCAGCAGATCTCACCACCTGAAACAAAGGGGAAATTGGGCCGGGAATAAATTTAACAATGCTATGCTGCGTCCTGGAAGTACAAACGTCATGAAATATGAAACAGGACAGGATATCTACAATTAAAAGCAACTTTTTAAAATGTTTGTTTATTTTTGGAGAGAAAGGGAAGGAGTGGGGAGGGGCAGAGAGAGAGGGAGACAGAGAATCTGAAGCGGGCTCCGGGCTCCGAGCTGCCCAGAACCCAACACCGGGCTCGAACTCACGAACTGTGCGATCATGACCTGTGCTGAAGTCATGACGCTTAACCGACTGAGCCACCCAGGCGCCCCAGCACATCTACAATTTGCTTTGAAAATACTACAATAAACACGACAAAGTGAGGGTACAGATAAAACAGGAGTGGCAAAATATAACCTGCTGAAGCCAGAATGGACACATAGGGAGAATATTTCTTCCAGACATTCTTCCTTCTTTTGTGTTCTTAATGTTGGCTAATGGAGATTTTTACTTTTATTCTTTTTGAGAGACAGAGCAAGTGTGTGTGTGTGCACACAAACGTGGGAGGAAGGGGAGGAGGAGGAGGAGAGGGATGAAGAGAGGAAGGGAGAGACAGAGGGAGAGAGGGAGAGGGAGAGAGAGAGGGAGAGGGAGAGAGGGAGAGAGGGGGAGAGAGAGAGAGAGAGAGAGAGAGAGAGAGAGAGAGAGAGAGAGAATCTCAAGCAGGATCCGTGCTCTCAGGATGGAGCCCAACACAGGGCTCGAACCCATGAACTGTGAGATCACGACCAGAGCTCAAGTCAAGAGTTGGATGCTCAACCGAAAGAGCCACCCAGGCACCCTGGCTAATGCAATTTTTAAGTGCTACTGTAGTCTTGCTGTGTGGGCAGTGAAGGCTCTATTTACCAAGACTATAATGCGAACGGACCCTCTACAGCAGCCGTGCTGAGACCCTGCTCGTTATCCTGTACCCTCAACTCCAGGAGTGTTTGTGTTCTTTTCATCACATTAGTACAAAATAAAATCTCATTAGTAAGTTATCAAATTAACATGCTATTCTGTTCACAGTGATTTTCCTCCCTTCTGTACTGGGCCTAGGAGAACAGACACTGACTTTGCAATGAAGAAAAGAAATGGTTGCCCATCTTCATAGAGTCTGTAATCTCTAAAGATGGTCTTGAGACCACGCAAACATTACTGCTCTGGACTCTACTTTAGTCGTTTCTCACTTAGGGTCTCAAGCTGTGAGCGGCACTAAGGAAAGCTACAGCGGCAAGTCCGATGGTAGACCCGGGGCTGATTTTAGCTGTATTACCTTAAGAATGTGGATTTTACCTTTTGTAAACATACGGATTCCGGGTCTTATTTGGGTCAGAGGGTGGATAACTGAACCACAAATAGTCGTTTTTTAAACCTTCAGCAAGATTCATTTTGAGAGAGAGAGAGAGAGAGGGAGGGAGGGAGGGAGGGAGGGAGGGAGGGAGCCTGGGTGCCTGAGCAGGGGAGGGGCAGAGAGAGAGGGGGAGACAGAGAATCCCAAGCAGGCTCTGCACTGTTGGTGTGGAGCCCAACTCAGGCCAAACCCAGAAACCCTGAGATCACGACCTGAGCCGAAACCAAGAATCGGATGCTTAACTAACCGAGCCACCCGGGGGCCTCATCTCACCAACACTTCCAATTGTCGTTCTTCCTGGTGTAAATAAAGTGGTATCTCATTGTGGGTTTAGTTGTATTTTCCTAGTGAGTCCTGACATTGAGCATCTTTTCTTGTGCTTATTGGCCATTTGTATATCTTCTTGGGTGAACCGTCTATTCAGGTCCTTCGCCCATTTTTAAATTGAGTTATTTCTTTTCGTTGTTGAGTTGTCAGAGTTCTTTATATATTAACTCATCAGATATAGGATTTGCAAAAATTTTCTATTCTGTGGGTTAAATTTTCCACCTTTTTTATGGTGTCCTTTGAAGCTAAAGGTTTTTTTTTTTTTTTTTTTTTAACATTATTCTTTGTGACACTGCTTTATTTATTTTTTGAGTAAACTCTATGCCCAATGTGGGGCTTGAACTCATGACCCTAAAAGAGTCTCACTGACTGTCGCAGCCAGGTGCATCTGAAGCACAAAAGTATTTATTTATTTTATTTTATTCATTTTTAAATGTTTATTTATTTTTGAGAGAGAGAGAGAGACAGAGCATGAGCAGGGGAGGGAGAGAGAGAAGGAGGGAGACACAGGTTCCGAAGCAGGCTCCAGCTCCGAACTGTCGGCACAGAACCCGACGTGGGACTCCCAACTCACAAGCTGTGAGATCGTGACCTGAGCTCAAGTTGGACACTTAACCGACTGACCCACCCAGGCGCCCCGTTATTTTATTTTTAAAACAATATTTTACTTTTAAGTTATCTCACCACCCAACGTGGGGCTTGAATTTACAAGCCCGAGATCGAAAGTTGCGTGCTCTGCCCACTGAGCCAGCCAGGCGCCCCGAAGCACAAAAGTTTTCAATTTTGATCAAGTCCAATTTATGTGCCTGTTGCTGTTGGTTACTTGTGCTCTTGGTGTTATATCTAAGAAACCACTGCTCAATCCAAGGCAACAAAGGTTACCATCATGTTTTTTCCTGAAAGTTTAGTTTCAGCTCTTTCATTTAGCTTTGATCTACTTTGTCTCACTGCTGTTTTCTAACTTTTCTTTTTTGATTTCTTTTGCTTACGTCTTGGTTCTACAGAGATATCTAATGCTACTGCTCTGGTACCTTCTCTTAGAATTGCAGTCTGTACCTGACATTTCCTTTTTTTGTTATGTCTGAGACATAATAAAAATCCTCATGGTTATCTCATCAATGCCACTGTAGGTGGTAGAAATATTGTGACTAAAAAGAGATGAGACAGGAGAGAGAGACAAACCCAGAAACAGACTCTTAACTCTAGAGAACAAACTGATGGTCCCCAGAGGGCAGGTGGGTGGGGGATGGGGGAAATAGGTGATGGGGATTGAGGAGGGCACTTGTGATGAACCTGGGGAGTTGTATGGAAGTGATGAATCACTGTATTGTACCCCTGAAACTAATTCAACTCTGTGTTAACTAACTAGAACTTAAATACAAACTTAAAAAGCACCCCTGCCAAATGTTTTTTTACACAACTGTAAATGTATACAGGAGACAGATTTACAGGACTTCCAGGAAAGCTATCCTCATTATTTTATTGAATAAACTTTTAACAGATATCTAGTTCCCAGAGGCGATTTATTACCACTTTAAAATAATGATTCTTGTCTTCATTAGTTATCTCAAAAAACCAAATTCTTTTTTTAAAAAAAATTTTTTTTTTCAACGTTTATTTATTTTTGGGACAGAGAGAGACAGAGCATGAACGGGGGAGGGGCAGAGAGAGAGGGAGACACAGAATCGGAAACAGGCTCCAGACTCTGAGCCATCAGCCCAGAGCCCGATGCGGGGCTCGAACTCACGGACCGCGAGATCGTGACCTGGCTGAAGTCGGACGCTTAACCGACTGCGCCACCCAGGCGCCCCTCAAAAAACCAAATTCTTATCGGTAAGTGGAAAGAGAAGGCTGGCGATTCTAAGTAGAAAACTACAAGACAAATTACAGAGGAAATGAAATCAGGATTATTTCCTAGAGCTGGTTGTATTAGGGGAAAGCCCATGATATCACCATAATTCACTTAGTAGAAAAAATATGACTGCCACTCCATCAGATATTACCTGGAACATCGAAGTTAAGTGTTCGTTCGATTGAAATGATGGATACTCTCCAAGGGTACTCTTCAAGCAATGTTTGTATGTTTCATGCAATCACATCAGAGGTACTGAGAATAAAATAGTAACTTAATCGTCAGGTAACTCACCTCCTTATGAGGGTCTTTATGTGCTTCCAACGTTTTCATGACCGTCAGTTCTGCATAGTTTTTAAATCTGGCTGGTTGATGCCTTAGGATTTCTCTTAAAACCTTTAACGCCAAAGCCCTGATTGTAGGCTAAGAAGAAATATTTTAATGTTTTTAATATTTTGGGTTGTAGACAATCTACTACATTTTCTGTATCTGTATTAAGGATCTTAACGTTGGGGCGGGGATAAGTTGTAGACAACTGTATAAAGCATACGGTATATGGCATAATTAAGTTTTCACATCTCTAGTTGAAAACTTACGTCATACTTCATATATTTGTAGGAGATCCAGAACCAACAACATTCTATGAAAAAGGAAATTTTACTTCTGAACTGGTTTAAATACGCAAAACAAGTACTCTTCTATAAAAACACTTTCAGCTACCTTTCATTTCTCCCATTGTCAATTGTTCCAAATCAACTGAGTTGTTGGTTTAGAAGACAAAGTACTCATAATGAAAATTTCACACGGGAAGAAACAGTAAAAGAGACCGATCTTCTCAATTTCCAAATTTGTGAAGCACTTGATTAGCAGGCAAGGACGGGCAATCAAGACAGGAAAAACAGGCTATTATTTACATATTCTGCCATTTACCTCTTTATCCCCAAGGGTTTCAAGCAATAGAAGTAATATTGTTTTGAAGTGTTCATCCCAAACGCTGAAAGATTCCTCCTGTGTCAGTTTCATGAGTTCATAGAGGGCAATTTTTCTTTCCTCTACACGTTCATTATGGTTAGACAACTCCTTCAACAACTCTGCAACCAGGTCAGAATGGTCTAGGGAGAGATCTGGCAGGAGGACACAAGATTAATTGTGTAACTCTTGTTAAGTATGGGGATGACAACTTTAGTTTTAAGGGAAAAAAAGGACTAATTTTCTTTTCCATTTAGTCATCTTGAACCCATCAGTTTTAGCTGAAAACTTTTTATAATAAAAATTTACATGGAGAAAATATATCATGAACCCCATATACCCATCGCCTAGATTTAATAATTAGCCAGATTTTACCATTCTTACTTCATCTTCCTCCCTCCCCATTCTTCCTGAAATATCTCTAGTAAATGGCAAATACATCACTTTATCTTTTAAGTACATCAGCATGCACGTCTGTGGTGTCACGCCAGGAGGCTCGCAATGTTTGATGCCTCCATTTTCAGAGGTACCAACAATGGCCAACAGATTGAGGTGGTGACAACGTGACCCTACCGTTGTAAAGTTCCCCCTCAATCTTTTTTTTTTTTTTTTTTTTGAGGGAGCTGGGGTATGGAGAGAGAGACAGACACAGACAGAGAATAAGTGGGGGAGGGGCAGAGAGAATTTTAAGCAGGCTCCACACCCAGCACGGGACCCGAAGCAAGGCTTGATCTCAGGGCTGTGAGACATCATGACCTGAGCTGAAATCAAGAGCCGGATGCTCAACCGACTAAGCCACCCAGGCGCCCTAAGAAAGACTATATTTTACTTAAGGGGGGATTCAGAAACCTGAGGAAAGGAAATAGAGCTGAACCATTAGAACAGAGGAGTTCAACGAGAGTAAAACTAACAGATGATAGGGAAGGAAAACGGAGCCAAAATGATGACAACATTCGCTAACGATTAAAAAAGTTTGCTCTGACAACTTTCATGGAATTACAATCAGAACACTAACGTCATCATACACAGCGCACAAGATATGATTACTGAACTTAAAAATTTGAGATATGTGAGAAGACCACTCACATATATGAAGATCTATGACCACTAAGGTGAACCAAGTTGGGGTTTTGGAAGATCAAGCGGAAGAACCTCTATAAAGTGCAGAGCAAACCATGAAGAAGAAGAAATCTGAGTTTAAGGATAACATCAACATCTTAACTTGTAGGATGAAAACTGTCCACAGTAACTTCATTTATACGGACCAGCACTGGAACAGCATTGCCAGTTTAACAGGAAATACCAAAGCAGGATAAATGTGTCTCTATAAACCTCATAAAAGTCATTCCTGCAAAGTTCTGTTATCAGACTTGCACAGAGGATTGTTCCAGTAAGAGTGTATTTTATTTCGGCCCAATAAAGGGAAGTCACCAAAGAATGCTTTCCAGGGAATGCAGCTCTTTTCTCTACGAATATAAGCTTTGTAGTTACACTAGGAGATAGTCAGAAATGACTAAAATGGTCTGGACAGGTGACTGACAGGAAAATCATTTCTGCCAAAGAAAACACATTTGTTACAAAACCGAACTACTTATATCATACAAATGAGATAAGACTAAAGTCATTAATTCAGATAAAGTGTAACCGACTGTATTTCCTCTTCTGATAGACAGGCATCAAGGTCATGTGAAAAGAAAAGGCTCTGGACCCACCAAACCTGTGCCTCTGATCCTGAGTGCGACAGAGGTACATTCTTAATTACTGTGGAGGCTCAGATTTGTCACGAGTAAAATGGGAAAAGAGCACTGACTTCCTACTGTCATGGGGAGGACCTGGGCTGAACTAATAGTTTTTCTTGTGTCTTTATGATAAATATTGGCCCAATTACAACTCTGATAATATTTCTGTTGCAGTGCTGAAAATATATGGGCTGTTCTTTTCACTGGCAAACTTTGATAAGAGGATTCCTTGAATAACAGCATCATCCTCACCAGCAGTAATATTCTGAAATTTTATGGTCTCTGGTAAACTTTACAAACGTCATGTGGACATTCGTGGGGTGTTAGTTTTTTGTGACACGTTAATCTTGATAAATTTATCACTCATGTGTCTGTAATGTGTAGAGAATCATCTGAATAATAGACATACTAATTAAGTCTCAGAATTTCAAAACAATTTCTTTCTACAGAAATTCTGACTTAAAAAAATAACTACATCCTGCCAAAAGTTATGGATTTTAAAAACCAAAAAAAAAAAAAAAAAAAAAAAAAAAAAAAGAGGAGGAATTTTGCAACCAGGCAGACATGAAAGGACAATCCAAAAACCAATGGAGGTCAAAACGTTAAAAAGAATGGGTAATGTTAGCAGTGTTCACAATAAAATAGGCCTTTCTAACAAGGCCTTCCCCACCTCAAGTTTAAAAATGAACACAGACAATAAATGAAAAGAACTGCAATATGGAGCTCAGAGCAACTACTATTTTGTTTGATGGCTTATCCACTTTCAGAGAGTGTTTACTCAACGTAAAATGGCTGTCTTAGGTTTCAGAAGTCAATCAAGTGTTATGCTGCGAAGAAATTTTCTCAAGTTCAAAAATATTCCACCCAGTTTAGATTTTGGTTATGTAATTTCCAAACATGTCTTCCTTTAACAAATGGGAAATATATGATCTTTTAGTAAAGGAGAAGAAAATTAGACAATAAGTGGATAACCTTGCTAAACTGTCATAATTTTGGCTTTGTGATAATATTAACTCTCTTAACCTGAGCAGTTGGTAAAAACATAATTCTTCAGCTTCACAAATGAAGAGATTTTTCCATTCACCAAACTACAGATGACCAGGCCTGGGAACACAGATTTCTGAGCAGCGTAAGCAGGGTCTCCACACCTGACACTGGTGAACTACGGAATGTCAGGGCTCAGCCAGGGCAAGAAGGGTGTCCACATGGAGTGGTGACCAGGTATGACCTGTGAGAGCCCAGGGAGAAGGAGAAGGGCACCCATGGCCCCGGGAGTCAGAGCCCAAGGAGGCTGAGCGCACCCAGGTGGAGTGGCAGAGGTGAGGAGTGCAGGAGAAGGAGGAGGGGCAGAGATGGAAAGCTGGCTGCAGACAGGAGGACTGACCCAATAAGTAAATATATTAAAGGTAATGAAAGGCAGGTTGCTCAGTGTCACAAAAGGGGGCTTATCCAAAAGGGGGCTGATGCCAAGAGCACATGACCTGAATCCAATCACAAGAGAACATCAGAACAGGAGGATACTAGAAATAATCTTATGGTGCTAAACTGAATTGGGAGTTTATGTAAACTCATAGCTCTTGATATAGAAATAAATAGGTATACATCAGTGTGTGTATGTGTGCACATGGACAGACATACGTATACATATATTCCCTTAGCTTTGGCCGCTGAGAGGTCTTAGGTGGAGTGATATCTCACTAGCAGTGGGTATACCTAGTGCTCAGACTTTAGCCTTTAAAGACCATTTTCTATTAAATGAAACCGAGGATCGACCCCTGGGGACATGATTGATTCGAAGACTCAAGCAGGGACAGCACAACATTTTGTCATGCCAGATGCAAGGATGGGGACACTGGCAAAAGAACAGGTCAAATCAAAGGCAATCTGAGCATCAACATAAATAATGATATTACAAATTATAAACGGTTGAGTACAATGCAAACCATGAGTTCATGTAATTATAAATACATAAATGAAACTTTTTAAATGAATACATTTTAACACAGTTTTAAAGTACCACCTTACAAGGCACTTACTAATTATACTTTTTTTTTTTAAACGTTGACTCTTTTTTTTTTTATTTTTAAAAAAAAATTTTTTTTTTCCAACGTTTATTTATTTTTGGGACAGAGAGAGACAGAGCATGAACAGGGGAGGGGCAGAGAGAGAGGGAGACACAGAATCGGAAACAGGCTCCAGGCTCTGAGCCATCAGCCCAGAGCCCGACGCGGGGCTCGAACTCACGGACCGCGAGATCGTGACCTGGCTGAAGTCGGACGCTTAACCGACTGCGCCACCCAGGCGCCCCCGTTGACTCCTTTTTGAGAGATAGAGAGACAGGGCATGAGCAGGGGAGGGGCAGAGAGGGGGGAGACACAGAATCTGAAGCGGGATTCAGACTCTGAGCTGTCAGCACAGAGCCCGATGCAGGGCTCGAGCCCACGAACTGTGAGATCATGACCTGAGCCGAAGTCGGATGCTTAACTGACTGAGCCACCCAGGCGCCCTAAGCACTTATGAATTATAAAAAGAGTAACTTCACAGTGGAGAAGCGTGGTAAGCACCAACATAATCAGGTGATAAAAGTTTCTACACCAGTCACTGGGCAAAGTGAAACCATTTATTACCTGAAGAATGGACTGTCACTTCTGGGACACTGATGCCAAGAGCACATGACCTGAATCCAATCACAAGAGAACATCAGACAAACCCAAACTGAGGGAGATGCTAAAATATAACTGGACTTCACAAGGGCCACGGTCACTGAAGGAGACTACAGAGACATGATGAGATTCTGAAGTGGGTCCTCTGGCTACAAGGTATTCTCACTGGACAAGTGACAAAACTCAAATGGGGTTTCAGGACAGGCGATTATTAATGCACGGATGATAATCACCTGATTCTGAGGCGTATCTTGGGGTTATGTGGGAGAGGGTCTGTGTTTAAGGAGAGCACATCCTCAAGTACTTAAGGTGACGGATCATCGGTCTGAAGCTTACTCTCAAGAGGTCAAGAGAAAGTTCTTTGTGCTGTACCTTCATTTTTTAAACTTTTGATTGCTTTAAAATTAAAAAAAAATACATACATTGCAGCTGAGGTAAGAAATGTCAGCGGGCCCAGTCTGGTCTGCCAGCTTGTGACGGCTGTACCTAAGTAATTTAAGAACAAAGCTGCTAAGCTACAGGTCTCAGTTTACTGGGCTGCTGGAACCACGAACGGATTAAGGGACAGGCACACGCTACGTCCAATGCATTCCCTCCGGTTCTGTTGGTGCCACAACTAAACCTCAGCAACAGAGCCAGCTAATTGTGACAGACGAAAATACACCAGAATCAATCATTTCGGCAGTTTATAGATTCTTCTGTAATTCAGAGTTAGTTTGGCAAGTTGCCATAATTTTTGTCTTTGTGATAATTGAGATATATTAATACTTAAATTTTTTTTTAAATGTTTGTTTTTGAGAGAGAGACAGAGAGAGAGAGAGGGAGAGAAAGTGCAAGCAGGGAAGGGGCTGAGAGGGAGACACAGAATCCGAAGCAGGAGCCAGGCTCTGAGCTGTCAGCACAGAGCCAGACGCAGGGCCTGAACTCATGAACTGTGAGATCATGACCTGAGCCAAAGTCTGACGCTTAACAGACTGAGCCACTCAGGTGCCCAAAATTTTTTATATTATTAAAAAAATTTTTTGTTTTA